TTACTCAACAGAAAATGTCACAAAACACAGAAAAGCATCACATGTATTTCTTGTTGAGAAAGGCCCAATCTCACATGTTAAAGACAGTGCTAAAAAATTCCCCGGCTCATATCACTCCCTCCAAGTTTGGTTATCCAGTAGTTTTTCCATTATCCTGCTACCAACAAACTAACGCAGATGAAAACGTAACCTCCTTGGTGGAGGTAACATCGGGGTCTAAGATCAACCAATAACAGTATCAGTCTTTATTCATGGCTTTGTCAAGTCTTTTTTTAACTTCTATCACTTTAGACTGTTCCCAATGTGGCGCAGAATAAAGACGGCCGTTAACACGGCCCACCGCTGCTAATAAACACCTCATGCACTGTTCCTCCTTGAAGGTTTTTCCTGGCCTCCTTTCCAACAGGTGGCATCACTATGGGTTCATTTCAGCGTCTTCTTCCATGTGGAATGTGATTCCGCAGCAGTATGTCTCAAACAGCCCGGAGCCTGGCAGACCATGATGTAATGGTCTAAAAACGTGCCATCAGTCAGAAGCAGGGCCAAAACACGTGGAGCTGGCTCCTCTCTCCGCTCGCCCCCCGGGGCCCCTATCTATTCTCCTTTTCCTCATCTCCCTCCCTTCCTCTCTCTGTCTCTCTCTCACCCCCACCCCTTCCACCACCATTCTGCTCCACCGCACTCCCTGTTTGTGAGTGCATGAATCGCTCCATTTCACCGTACCCAACTTCCAGCCCACTACCAATCCCACAACTGCTTCAATAATAGAAGCCCCGCTCCTTGTGCTTTCATTTCCATGACAACCCACAATGAGAGAGAGAGAGAGAGACAGAGAGAGAGAGAGAGAGAGAGAGAGAGAGAGGGAGGGAGAAAGGGAAGGGGGGGTTAGCAGTGCCATGAATGAGAGGGCGGGAGTGCTTTCCCTTGACCCCTGGTTCCATTTGTAAGGAGGGAAACCTTCACAACAGTCTGAGCTACCGTGAGGTTAAACTGACCAATCAACAAAATTCAAGCAGCAACTTATCACTCAGTCACGACACAAGGTGCAAACAAGCAAGTTAACTTAATGTGGTAACTGTCCTTCTCAGAAGTACTTTATAAAGAGGACATAAAACAAGCAAAGAACATATAATAACACTACAGGAAGTACAATGATGTAATGAAGGCGCTAAATGTTGTGTCATGCACAAACATCCACGATGAAAATGCTGACATGCAGATGTTTAGAGAATATCATGCTTAGTGTCTTCAGGGTCTTACTGCATGTTTTAATTTGGTTATAGATAAAATAACTTAAATCAAAATCCATGAATCAACAAACATGTGAAGAAACGCCTGAACTCACAATGTTAAAAACAGAGAAATATACATTTCATGGGTTTTTCCCTGAACATACAACTTCTTTCTACCAGTTTGTGGAACGGTAAACAATCAAGCAGTTTTTGTGTAATTCTGCTAAATAACAGACAGAAAAACAAACGCAGATGAAAACATCACGTCTTGTAGACGGATGTTACAATAACGACAGATTGTAGATGAGAAGACAAAGAATCAACACAGTTTTTACGACTCGTCCTTTTTGGAAAATTAATGTTTACCAAACATTTAAATAATCCATCCAATGGTTGTGCAGAAATCCTCTAAAAGAGTCATTTTTCTTATTTTACTTTAATTTCTACCTTTAACAACAAGTAAATTAATTTCCTCTGTCACTTTTTGAAAGGTCTCATCGACTCTAAAGGTCACAAGGTCTCTGCAGTGATTTTAATCAGTGATTGAGGGTCGTACAGTCTGAATGAGAGTGACACAAACACAACAGAGATAAACAGAGGGTGAAAGAAGGTCTGCAGGTCGAGCCACAGGGAAGATTTACGATACACATGTAAACACACATGCTCTTACACATGTGTAAGTATGCAATCATGCACACACACACACAAATATAAAATTAATCTTTTAATTCACCTCCCTGGATTACAGCCAGGATTAATTCTTTAACCCACCCCCCAGAACTGGTGAGGGAATATTTGTCCACCATCGTAGTTGTCCATCTTTTATGTGTCAGTGTCACGTCTGATCTAATACAAGCTGTTGTTATGGGCGATCATTTCTCAGAACGTGGAACAGAGGAGATAACGTGACGATATTGACGTCCTAGTTAATAGATTGTAAGATTATTCTCTTTTTGTCCTGAGGTTCTAAACAAAAACAAAAGCTCCAGAGGACAAATGCTGCAGCAGCAATTGAGGATTGTATGAAGTGGTAAAATATTTACTGAACTAAAAGTCTACTCAGAGAGTGCATAACTCCACTACGTCCTATGAGTCCCCTTATGATGACACATTCATCTATTGATTGATCCATGAATTATTTTACAAGTATCAACTGAAACTTATGAAAAATATGGAATATAGCCAGAAAGGCAGACGATTAAATAAGTGAATGGAAACTACTGAATCTAAAAAAACTACAGATATGTCTGAAGCATGTGTGAGGAGATCACAGACTCAATCCCTCTATTTATATACAGGTCAAAATATCAACACAGTAAAGCGCCTTCAACACTCGGGGGAGTGGCAGCAATGCACAAAATGTTCTCATAATGTGTCATGTGATCATGTTTCACACCCCGCTGTAAAACTGTGTGACCGGATCTGTGCATGCATGTAGTACATGTGTGTGAGCACCTGCAGGCATGTGATTAGTAAGAGTCAATATTATCTTGTTTAAGCAAATGATGAATTGTTATTTAACAAGCACTTAAAATGATGGTGCACTCAAGCCCAGAGACAGGATTTCATCTGCAGAGTGGAAGAGAAAGTCTGAGCTATGCTGCAACACCACAGCTCTAATTTTAAAGAACAAAACCTCATTTTTCTTTCCTTTGCACGTGAGTTCAGTCCAGGACAGCGAGGGAAGACCTGTCCCATGGGAGCTGGCAAGGAAGAGGGTGAGCTCACTAATCCCATGAGGTCCTGGGCCTCCCAGTGGGGCACCCACAAACCCCCCCAAGACCTCGACAAAATCCTGCTGACAGCAGTCCTCATTGTTTGCGTATGGCTGGCTTAGCTCCACCTCCACACAGAGCAGAGAGGGAGAGTTCATCATTGAAGGAAGAACAATAAAGATATAATTTCCTTACAGCTCACATTTCCACTTAAAAAAGGACTAAAGAAAATGACAAGGAATCAAAAATCTGTTACAATGAGGACAAGAAGATAGATTCAAGTTTCAGGACAAAAGCTTCATTGTCAGTGTGAACGCTAAGAAAACACTGTAACCTTGACTCTTAGCTTCTCTCCATTGTAAACAGATTTTTCTCCTCCATGAGCCGGTTCGCTCTGATTCTGCATCATTGTGTCTCATCAGGGTAACGGTTTGCCTCCCATTGGCCGGACAATCCTAATGCTATTGTTACAAAGCTTATTAAAAAAACTCAAGGGGATTGCACTTACATTACATTCAATTATCTGGAATAAGAAATTAGTTTGAGGTGACAGCTGCTATCTGCGTATCTTTAAGACAATGTATCTCAATGTAAATATAGCACGTTAGCATTAGTTTGTCAAACACGACAACATTAAAGAAACTGAGAGCAATATTACATTATTCTGTATCATTTTAACCATGTAGACGCTCAAATACTTTTTTTTTCTCTCAAAAATCAAGAGGATACGCTTCTCTTGATATATATTTATCACAATAACAGTGAAGCCGCAGAGTGAAACAAGAGGCCGGGATGATGCCAAATTGAATTTGGTGGATGACGTGTAAGTTAATTTTCTTTTTGACAACATCCAAGGACGCACGAGAAAGATGCCCAGCTTGATTTATTGGCCTCCCTCCTTCTTATTTGTTCAGATTCCTGTGGAAGTAAATCAAATACTGCCATCTTCACTGTGATAAGTATTTTGGCTGTAGGGGATAAAAAATGATTGGCAGAGCTTTTAAACCAGATAGGAGGGGTTGCTGTTGTTTTGGGGGCTGCAGCAAGTTGAAGGTTATTTCAATCATTGCTTGACAATGAAAAAAAATGAATAAATTGTTGAACATCCTCATGAAATATTTTTGTAATCATCGTGTTTGTGCAGTGATTCAGACTTTTGTTTTCTCTCATTAGAGTCGGACATCATCACGCTCCAATTGTCCGGTCACACAAGTAAAAGGAATATGAACACATCATTAGTCAGTCTTAAAGGCAAAAGCTTAAAACCAAAAACGGATTATAGCATTACTCATATGAGTGAGTGCCGTAACGCCCAGTCTCTCAATGAAGGCATTCTCTATTAACAGAGCACTGGTGCTGACATGCATGTGGCAGTTAACAAGTGTTTGTGCAGTTCATCATGATAATGAAACATCCTCTGATCTGACACATGACTACTGAGGATACAAAGCAAGACAGACTGGAATAAATAAATCAGGTATCGACTGAAAACGTCTTCTTACACTTACAAGAGTTTCTGAACCAATAATTCCACAATATCTGATTTGCACATTCCCTTTAACCACTGTCGTAACAGTCTACCTCAGTATGTACGTGTATGTGTTTTATAAGTGGTTGTAAATGTGCATTCATATTTATGTCTTAGAATTAGAAAACATTCCTTATTCCTTATTAAGAATTTTTTGCATTAATAACTTACTTCTGCATATGACAATGAAGCCTATGAAACTAAAAGAAGTGAAGACCAGACAAGATGATTTATCAGTAAAAGTAAGTCCTCATTAAATGTCATACTACTCAGAAGAGTTGCTAAAATAGAAAACACACACACACACACACACACACACACACACACACACACACACACACACACAGACACACACACGCTGTTCCTAGGAGATGTCAACACAGTGAAAACAGATGAGGAAACGTGCGGAATTTAAAGACTGTTCATAACTTCACTTCCAGCGGCTACGTCATAACCCCCCCCCCCCCCCCCCCCCCTCCCTGTTGCAAACAAACAGCTACATAGATAAGAAGCCAGTCAGGTGGATCCAGTGTTCCTGTTTATTATTTGAGGAGATTTAACAGGATTTATAGTAAAAACAATGCAGTTTAAATACAGAATACCCTTAATAACTTAGGTCCTGCTAAGTTTTCTGTAAAACAGCCTCATGAGGAGGCATCTTTGAAGTAATCTTGAGCTTCTTTGCACATAAATCAATACGCTATAACATAGCATTGTTATGAAGGTATAATTATATTTGTCCCACTTGCCAAAGCCCTGAGAAAGTGTTAAAAAGAAATGCTAGCACGCTACTGGGTCCAGATATTTGTACACACACAAAAACTGGCAATCAGTATTTGTACAAAATTATACATTCACGAGGTTCAAAATCTATTCAGCTGAGCATCAATTGTGTTCACCACTGCTTCTCTTCCTCCAGATAACAACACAGGACCGGCCTGTCGATAAATCTGACCTTTGATGTACAACATCAGCGTCCATTAAAGGAGAGTGTCCTCGCTGTCCTCGTTGTGTTCGCTGAGCTGGGTCTTTCTGTGAAGTGTGATGGCGGCCCAGAGTCGACACAGCATGCCTCCTCTGAAAATGCAACATTGCACAGATGAAAAGAGATTTAAACGTGCAACCTCTAACTTCAGCTGCTACGTGGGCTCTCGAGTAAAACAATAACAAAAGACCTAGTTTGGTGACGCAGCGTGGATTCATGGGAGTTGTTGTATTCAGCACCATTGATGATGAAAATCTACCTGACGCAAACTCAGGTGCTAATCATGTTCATGGATGACGCAATTAATTATTCACGTTATGCAGCAAACTGTGGAAGGAAAAAACAGCTGACTGGCTAACTAGCTAGCAGAGTGTTCCTTCGTCATGCATCGTGGTAGCAGGGGCGGATCCAGGGGGGCACTGGCCCCGGCTGAAATCTTACTGACCACTGAAGTGTCTCTGTCCTGCAAGTAGTCTTTAAAAAAATAGTCACTTACTAACAATACTAATAATAAGCAGGACAATTTATTAAAATTTCAGAAAAAGCGCTAATGAGCTAACAGTAAACAAGTAATGATTGAAATGTGCACCTTCCTGAATCAGGCATTGTAATTGGATGTTGAACATGTAATTGGCCCCTCTGTATAAACTGTGGCCCCTTAATGGCCCCTAATTTAGAAAAATCTTAGATCTGCCACTGTCCCAAAGTTATAGCAGAGACGGTAGAGGATATGACACAATTGACAGTTGACTAAAAAGAAACACCAGGTTACTTTATGTTATATCTTACAGTGTCCAACTGAATCAACTCAGAGATCAACTTGAACTTAAAGGGGTAGACAGAGGTTCTTCTTCCCCACCACCTCTGAGCTGTTTCTCGTTTAACATCTCTGTGAGGACGGTCTGCGAGAGGGTCACGTGTGGAGGGAGCTCACCTTATTCCACAATACATCAAATCGTCCCTGGAGGCCAAGTGGAGGAGACAGTCCAAGGTGAACTTGTGGGAGAGCAACTATAAAACAGGATCATGCAGGTGTGGATTAACGGCGGGTGGATGAGTAATACCAGCCAGCCTCGGCAGGAAGTAGAAAAAAGGAAAGCTGAGTTTACCTTATCAATGGTATCTTGATCTACAGGGACAGACTTGAGCCAACACACCAACGCCTTCATCTCTGGATGATGTATTTTCTGTGAAGCCGATTCGCCACCTATGAAGTAAACAGATTAAAATCCCCTCAGTCACTTGGTGCAAGTTACAGTTACATTAAATATGTTAAGGTATCAATGTTACACACAGACAGAAACACTCATTGTGTTTCCAAAGCCAGACTCTATAATCATTATCTGAACTGATGAGTCAAGTTTGAGCACATTAGCCGATGACGCGATGGTCTACGCCTCTGACAGAAACCAGTCGGGCAGATATCCAGAGCCTGAAGCTGAGGTGTGGTTGGGTCCTCTGGTGCAAGTATGAAGTGTGTGCAATAATGGAAATCACTGAGCGTATTGATAAACCCACCGAGGGCTTGGTCGCTGGTGTAATACTGATCATGCTGCTGCTTGTGTGGCTGATCATCAGACTAATTCTGACTCACTCTGAAAAAAATGGTTAAAAACTAAGGAGACAAGCAAACAACTTATCAACATTTCCGTATTATCCTCCATTTTAATTTAGTTTATTTTATTTATCAAATATTGGGGAATACAGGTAGAACAAAAATACTGTATCTGGATCAAGGTGCTTGATAAAATCTTTCATTCACATTTTCCTGAATGTTTGCTTGAACCTGCTCAGTGTCCTGGATACTGAGGTCTAGTCAGATTATTTAAAAAGCACATAACAGAGGGTATGTTCCGATGTTACAGTGTTATTTGTGTTTCCCCCAGAAAATATTTCCTAATGACCTGAACATGAACAGTTACATGCAGACAGACAGATGTCATGGAATTAGTAAGTTGATTGCGAGACAGGTTTTTGTGTTTTTTTTTTATATTTTCACCAATTTCCCAGGAAATAATTAACAGATCATGGTGAAAAAAAATCAGGCATGTTTAGGGGACTGATATTTCATGTGTGTGCAGATCCAAATAAAAATCGAGATCTAGTGAAGTTAATTGTGGTTTGGACAGTCAGCCGAGGTATTTGCTCTACTGAAGACGTGTGTAGAATTCACAGCGAGCAAAGTCATGTCTCTCCTGCCTCTTTCATGCTTTACCCAGGTGCCACCCCTCGGCTAAACCAAAGGTGAGAATGCATCTGACACAGGAGAGCTCTGCTGTCTCCTACATGTGTGAAAGAACAGCTACTGACAGTGATTCATCTGACAATGTCAAGACCATAGTCATAGTAAAATGCATGTGTGTGTGGTAAAAAAGAAAACTGTACCGTCAGTGATGGCTGCTTTCCTCAGTGCATCTATCTGTTCCTGTTTCCCCTGGACTGAGTTCCTGAGCAGATCCTGGTACTCTGTCTCCTTCTCACTAAGCTGACTCAGCAGTCTGAAACACAAAGAGCAGAAATGTCTCATTAAAACGTAAAATGTCAGATTGTGTGGCCGTGAAAAACCTTTTTAACTGATGATTATTTGTTAAACACATTTAAACCTTAGCACAGCATTGTGATAAAGCTGAACGTCACCTTTTGGTCTCGAGTCGCAGGTCTCTGAGTTTCTCGCTGAGGGGACAGCTGGTGCTGAGGACCAGGTCTGTAAGAGAGTGGGGGTCAGCAGTGGGCGTGATGTCGTTTATCGCTTCGGTTTCCTCCTGGTCTGCTAGCATCTCCAGCTCGCCAGGCACGAGAACTACAGGAGTGCTGGGTTCAGCAGCCAGCTCCTCAACAGTGCTGTCCTCGTTCTCAAATGAGGACTGCAGCTGGAGTTTCAGCTCTGAGAGGAAAAGAGAGGAAAGATGAACAGAAGCAACAACGACAGGGAAAAAATAACTCACAGGAATAAACAACTTAATAAATACAAGAAAAACTACAATGACTGCTGTACAGTTGTCTGCCTTCCAGGAGCGGTGAAGTCACTCCAGTCACTGTGACTTTTGACCTTTAACCATTGAAATGTAATCAGTTAATCTTTAAGTCTAAGTGACAACTGATCAAATCTGAAGAAATTCCCAAATAAGATTAAAGAGAAATCATGTTCAAGAGGCCAAACACATGTTTTGTGAGGCCACTGTGACCTTTGACCACCAAAATCTAATCAGTTACTCTGAGTTAAAGCGAATATTTGTGCTAAATTTGAAAGGATTCTCTCGAGGCGTCTTTAAGAAAGGGTTGAAATTTGGCCACCAAATTTTATAGAATTCCTCTTTGAGTTCAACGGAATGTTTGTACTAAATGTGAAGAAAACCTCAAGACTTTCTAGAGATATTGAATTCACTAGGATGGGACGGACGGATAATATAAGTGTACACACTGGATCCACAAGGAGAGAAAGACACAAACACAAGTGTTCGACATTGCTGTGATTTTCTCCTCTAGTATCTGCTTGTCTCTCTTTTAGTTTAACCTATATTAGTGAAAAAGATGGAGCTCTACCCGGTAGGAGCACACTGATGGAGTCCTGCACCGCCTGTCTCAGGAGATTGTCCAGAGCAAACATCCAGTGAGGTTTCACCTGCTGTTGCTTCAGCACCTTCTTCACCTGCGTGCACAGCGGTTGGTTTGAGTCGACCGTGAAAAGACAATGACATCTGAATAATCACCAGAAGAAAAGTCTACGTGCTGACTCAGAGACAAACTCACTGCATCTTGGAAGCTGAACAGCACCGCCTGCAGGCTGTTCAGAGGTACTGTGGCAGCAAGCAGCATGGCTTTGAGGTCCAACAAACCACTGGTCAGCTGCTTCCTGTCCGGGGAGTGGATGTTGTCTCGCAAGCAAACAATGAGCTTGGTGATGTGGTCTGCAGTGAACGATGACCCCTTTCCACACTTTGGACAGAAACAAATAAAAGCATGGATAAACTAAAATACTGCAAGGCAAGGACGTGGTTGTTTTTATTGTTGTCATGCGGAAAATAGTCATCGACAGGAAAACAAAAACAACTGTAGTGTTTTGTTCCGTGGAAAATTTTTGAGACGAATGCAAAAGTAAAATAAGATGGAAAAATACCTGCAGGCTCTCAATCATTGAGTCATTATTAACTTGCATGCCAACTTTAATATTAACTTTCCAGTCACTGCAAATAGTTGTGCCGTACACATAGGTCACATCAACGGTGCAACAACATGTCTGAGCATCTTGAGTAACATCTTATGAAAGACGGGATCCAAATATTCCGAGCTTGTTTGAAGAAGCACGTCTTTGCCAATTAGCTCAGACTTTGTCGATTCTGACAAACAGCATCTGTGAAATATAATAACTAGTCAATACTTAATGATGAACGAATCATCTGTCTGATGAAGCACTTTAGACAGGAGACCATGCAGTTAACAGATTCCAACACAATGTTCTGTTGTGACTTTTTAACCCCCCCCACCCACCTGAGGCACTGACTCCTGTATATTATTGATGACGTGACCGATGTAGTCGTTGAGAACTCGGTGCAGAGTTGCTCTCCTCTCACTGTCCTTCCTCAGCATGAAAAGACCAATATTCTCCCCGGTTGAGGCAGGACTGCACATGTCTAATGGAGAGTCCTCTGGTATTCTGGACAGCAGGGGGCAACAGAGAGATAAAGCACACTATGTCAACAAAAGAAATGAAAGAAAACAAGTGGTTTCTATGCTTAGAATTAAAATCACATAACGGCTAGACGCTGTATGACTATGCCCTACACAGAGATAAGAAGGCTTTTATCTTCTGTTGACCAATATTCAAACTCACGACAGGAAGCTGCTGGTGCTGGGTGGGCTATCGGAGACCTCGTGCGCTCTGAGGGTGAACTGGGTCCTCCGGAGGTCAAGGGAACAGGACAGGTCGATAGAACCGGAGTATGAATCAGTGTCCTCCACCAGGATGGAGATGGGCACAGACAGGCTGCGCTGATAGTCAGCTGCAAACCCAAGATTGTTGTTAGTAGCTGTGAGTCCCTGATCAACATCTCTGATAATTACCCGGTTTCATAATAAAATCCCACAAGGTTATGATAAAGGTTTAAAAGACATTTACTTTAGAATAAGAAAGGATACAAGAGAAACAGAAACTAACCTTAGATAGATATAGATGTGAAAACAAGATTAACTGACAGATTACAAAATATGTGAAAGATAGCAGTAGGTGAATTTAAAGTGCAGTGAAGTGTCATTACAAGAAAGGGAGTCTTTGGGTTCGGCTTCCTGCGGAGCCTTGGCCTTCTTCCTGGGTGACGACCTGAGGAAGGAGTCCACCAGCAGCTCCGCAGCCGTGGCTCTGTCGTCTGGGTTTGGATCGAAACAGTTCATGATGAAGCTTTTGGCCTCGTCCGACATGCACTCTGGAACCTTTGGGTGGATCTTAAACATGCCAACCTGGACAGGAATGTTTAAAAGTTACTGGAAGAGTTTGTAATCATTTATCCGGAAAGGAAATAGTTTATATGTCCATTCAACTTTGATTTTAGAATGTGCATTTTAAAAGACAAAAAGACTACAGCCATACCAGTGACTCTACAGAGTCAAAGCGCCACACAAAGGCTTTTATCAGCATGCTAACATGAACAAACAGATAACCCCAACATGCGGATGTCTATCAGGTGTATATTTACTATATTTATCACGGCATCTTAGCATGATAACGTTTGCTAATGTGGCACTAAATACCAAGTACAGCTGAGCCTGATGAGAATGACCTGACGGCAACATACAGTTCATCCTGAGGATCATGAATGGTTGTAACATCCATCAAAAAGTTGCCAAAACATTTTTTAAGCAACTTGACTGTGGCACTCAAGAGACAATTAACACACAACTAAGTCACTACAGGATTCATCATCTGGGAATTATGAATGTCTGTGCAACAGTCCATCCAATTATTTACTTCAAATGTCCGTATTTTAGTCCAAACCCATCAAAACCCCCCAACAACCACAGAAATATTCATACTTTTCACATTTCCAACCATCTGACATAACATGCAACTTTCCCTTCTTTACCTTGAACATGGCTGCCTGAGGACTTCCCAGCTCATGAAAGGGTGTTTTGCCTGTTGCCATTTCTATAATAGTGCAGCCGAGGGACCAGATGTCAGCCGGCTTCCCATAACCCCGAGGCCCCTGGTCTATAATCTCTGGGGCCATGTACTGAAGAGTTCCTGTTGAAAATGATGAGAATGCAGCGATTGTAAATCAGTTGACAAATACAACATATCATTTTCAT